GCAGACACTACAAGAAAAGGAGGCTTTCATGACATAACCATCATGACATTTTCTAATTAAATGTCCTAATAAAGGGTAGATATAAAGACACTAACATTAAATGTCTTGAAAGATATACTAACAAGACATTTTTCTTTCTTTAAGGTTGGCTATACATTTGGTGACACAGTTTACGTCACATATTTTTTAAACTAACCAACCTCCTTATCTTTAAAAGTGGAGTAATTAAGTTTTAATAATAAAATATAATTATTAGTAATAAAAAATGGTAGCACATAGGAATATGCGGCTTCCCCAAAAAATACAATTTGGCAGTTCACCGTAAAGGGGAAACTACATTTTCTGCCGGCATTTGAGATCAGGCATCCTTATCCTTGCAAGATCCGCAATTCCTCACTATGGATCCTCTGTCTTTAGTATCCGGTAAGAGATCCACTTAATTTTCTTCATCGTGCTTTCCTCGCCTCTAATGTCACCAAATCGAGGTCAGGAATCTTATCATTTATCTATAGCTTACATTGATAATTAATTTTCTTTGTCTATTATTCAGTGGAGATGGTGTGTATATTGAATTGTTATGCTGAAAAATGCTTGATTTGAGGAGATATAATGGTACTGAGTCTTAGGGCAAAATTAGAAAGTTTTCCCAATTGTGCACTTTCTTGTAGTGAGAAATCAAAGCGATACTACAGGGCGTAAGGTGTTGTTGAGAAACAGGACTAAGTCGAATCATAGTCCAATCTGATAGCTTGAAAATTGTGAACTTTCTAAGAAAAACCAAAGTCTCTCCGTGGAGGTACAATGATGCTTTAAGTGAGATTAATGAGCTCTTGCAAAGCACAAGATAAAAAAAATCATGCACATATAATACTTTGGCTGATGGATAATCAAAGCAAGCTTCTGATGAAGTATTAATGCAATATTTTTTCTTAAGAGACTTACTGACAGAGCTAAGAGGTATGTTTTACTTGGATCAACAATCTTTCCCATATCTCCGTGTGGAATAAACAAGTTATACACTATATAGTTTTCTTTAGGAACCTATTGTAATAGATAGGTAACTATTCTCAATTTTTTTTTTTACCACAAAACTGTCAGGGATTTTTAGAAAATTCATGTGAGACAATTCTTAGAATAATTTGCAACTGTCAGGGATTTTTAGAAAATTCATGTGAGACAATTCTTAGAATAATTTGCAACAGAAATGCCAATGGATTAGTAGATAATCCTTGTAAGACAGCTCTTTTTTGTTGGATATATATATATATATATATATATATATATATATATAAAGAGAAACCAAAATGATTTACAATAAGGATCAGAGAAATGGAAGATGGATTGGGAACAAGGGAAGCAGTATTCTACTAGTTTTGGTTACAGATGGCTTAGGGGACAAAAAGAAAAATGCAAGGAAGCTACATTGATATGGAACAGAATGACTATACCAAGGCACAGTCTGATTAGCTGGATAGTCTAGAAAGGTAGACTCCTCACAGCTGATAGATTGAAGAAGTTGAAAGTTGAAATACAAGATGAGCAATGTCTGCTGTGTGATCAAGGAAGTGAATCTATTCAACACCTATTTCCAGTATTCTTATGCAACAGATGTCTTACAAGAGATGATCGAAGGAATGGCTTGGAGTACAAGAAAGGATAGAGAGATTGAACAGAATCAAAATTCAGAGGGTTTGGAGTTATAAAAGTTCGAAGAGAAGTGACTTTCTGGCAAATTTGAACGCATTCATATATCATTTATGGATTGAAAGGAATTGTAGAAAATTTGGCAGTAAGTAGGAGAATATAATAAATAGATGGATGTTGATCCAGAATGAGCTGAATGGAGAATACAACATGTATATAGGAATGATAATAGAGATGATGTTCGCTTCCTAGCCAAGTGAGGGATCAAATTTTGACAAATTGTACATATTACTTGTAAGTGTTCATGAAGTAATGGAAATTATGATTTACCAAAAAGAAAAGGATTAGAGAGAGATTTTGGTTTAATTGGTGACATATTTAAGCCAAGAAGAACTTTGTCCTTAATTACCATATACGTTGCCAAATGGTCACATGAACCATGCTAGCTTATCTTCTCCTATTAATGTCATGCCAACAACCACATCTTGTTGCAGCTCAGTTCATCATTTTGAAAGGAATTAGGTTTGTAGGAAATTTTATTCTGCATTCAGTTTCTTAAAAGAAGAAGAAATTAATTCCTCTCTTTTGGACGAGGGATTATTTCCAAAAAAAAAAAACATAACTTCCTCGAATTTGAACTAGAACAAGTCTTCATGTTTGCACTTAATAAGTTGGAAACTGGTCCGATATGAACAAGAGCAAGGTCTTCATCTATCATTTTTGTGTTGAGGAAGGATTCATGCCATTTCACTCTTACAACTGGAATTTTCTATTCTTTCTTTATGTTAAATAGTAAAGAAAAAAGAGGCGGAAGAAAGATTGAAGAACGACAAACTTTCTTGCCTTTTTTCTTTGACATTAGGGTTTATTATATACACGTATTAGTGATGATAGGATCACCATAACTAAGGTATATACATCTATTTACATTACATATTTTCGGAACCCAAAAATGATATATGGTAATACTGTAATACCCCCTCAAATTGGAGCATGAAGATTCTGATGCCCAACTTGCTGAGGAATAAATCAAACCGAGACTTATCCAATGCCTTAATTAGGGAAAATATCAACAAGTTGATCATGCATATAGAAACATAATCGGAAGAATAGTGCACTTCAACACCTCGTCAAACACAAAATGACAGTCAATCTCAATGTGTTTAGTAAGCTCATGAAACACGGGATTAGCTGATATATATGTGCAAAACAGCCTGACTATCACAGAAGAGTTTGGCTAGCTGATGATGAGGAACATCTTTTTTGCTCTTTTCATTGACATTAGGATTTATTATATACATGTACATAAGTGATGATATAGGATCACTGTAACTAAGGTAAATAGATCTAGTTTATTACATATTTACGAAACCCTAGAATGATATATAGTGATATTGTAATATTAAATGAGCTAAAAATCGTCCAGCTACAAGTCAATGATATAATTCCGGGACGAACCAAATAGTTTTCCTTTTCGGCATATACTCAATCTGTCCCAAAATTATTGTCGAGTTTAAATTTTTAGTTTTAATTCAACTTGTACTAAAAGTAATAATCCAAATTGGACAATAATTTTAGGACAAAGAGAGTACTAATTAGCACTGACAGAGTAAAGTCCCCCGGCTGAACTACAATCCCGATTTCATTAATAGCTTGTCTTCAAGATGAAAATCATGGTTTATACACTTGAAATGATTAAAGTATCTATGCGCAGAGCATGTCTTTCCAGTAACAAAATACACAAATTGAAAAATTTAAGGTATAAAAATTCTTTTAATGCAAGAGATTACCTTCTTTGCTTTTTTTTTTTTTTTTTGAATAAACCAGGGCAAGCCTGGAGGGCATAACCCTTTGTTTATATTGATTAAAACGTTAAATTACATAACATAACAAGAGATGGTGTATTTATGCACGAGCCTCTTTCAACAAAAATTGAAAAAAAAAAGCGCATTCAAACAATCGCCATCAGTATCCTTTTTTTTTTTTTTTGACAAACAAATGAAATGATGTTATTATTAAGAAGAAGAAGAAGAAGAAACATAGTTCCTATTACATTCTGTTGCCTTATTATGAACTAGACGCAATCGTTCTCGGCTAACTTTTTTTTTGACAAGCAAATATATGGCGTTGAGCACTGATCCAATTTGAGCAGTCTCTTTATCAATCATGTCCCATTCAATGTGAATTATTTATGAATTTATCATATTTATGGGTTATCATGTGACAATTGCGCGTTCCACTCTCTCCCGAAAAGCTCCTACCTGGATCCATGGATTTCTGTACTTCGGCCCGGATTCGAGTCACTCGCAAATTCCATGGATAAAATTGAAACAACATTGGAGTAAAACTAGAGAAATCAAGATTTCTCATTCTTGCATCTACATAGTCCAATTCGCCTGGGCTTGCCATTCTTGAATCTATATATTTTGTTCGCCTTCAGGATCATAACCGGCAGATTGAAAAGGATGATAAATTCCTCGACATCGACGGCCAATGATCTCCTTTGAAGATAATATCATCTGGAGTAAGGACCAGCCTGATTTAAACTAAATTAATAACATTCAAAACAAAAACTATTGTGATTTATAACCGTTTCGATCATTTTTCTGTCATGATAATGCTGAAGTGAGGTTTTATGTATTACTACAATAGTAGTACTATTATTCATTTCCAAGGGAAGTGACACTTGAATAGTTGAATTAATTCTCAAATCAGATGGTGAGGAGGCTGCTCAAAATATTTTATATTTGAAACAACATTGGAGGAAAACTAGAGAAATCGAGATTGGATTCAATAATGAATTAATAGGCTTAATTACAAAAGGTAAACATGAACTTGGTACCCCATGCATTAAACCGCTGATCCTTATTACTTATATATCACATGCTCATGCGTGTGCAGTGTTTCCTTCTTTTTTGTTGAATAAACCAGGGCGAGGTCTGAGGGGATAACCCTTTTACATTGATTCAAAAAAAGCTAAATTTACATAGGTGGAGGGGAGGGGTGTATATTATAATCTAAACCCTAGCTACTTTGAACGAAAACAAAAGTACATTTGAAAAAAATCGTCATGAGCTTCTAGTATATGGCATTGGGAACTCATCCAATCTGAGCAGTACTCTCTCCGAGTCTCTTCGATCTCGTCCCTTCAGTGTAGAGCTGTTGATGTTTCATCATGTGCCAATTGGGCGTTCTTTCTCCCTTCCCCAAAAAACTCGTTGATTTCTGTCCTTGCTTCCTATGTTGTGTGGCTCTATGAAACTTCCGGGCACAATGCACACAGTGGATCTACCGCTGTGATGGACATTGAACCAGTCAGTCTCTTGTTAAGAACCGTTTACATTAATTGATGCTATTCAGAGCTCGTCGTCCGGCAGAGTGGAAAAGGATGACAAAGTCCTCAACATCGTGGGCCAATGATCACTCTTTAAAGATAGCATCGACGAATCTGATTTTACTTTCCTCATCTTTGCAACTTCTTCCTTTGATTCATTCAACGGAGTTGTTTGCGCTGACAACAAGGTTGACAATGACGGCGACGATCTAACCAGCTTCAACTTCCTAAACAAAGTACTCTTGTTGCCTTCCTCTTTAGCTTCAGCGTTTTGAGTTATAGTCAAATCATGGAAACTAACTCCGGAAGATCCCCGAAACATACCCGAATCCACACCAACAATGATTTCCTCATCATAAAGTGTGAAGCTGAAACGTTCAAGATTCCGTGGAAGTTTCCGGAAGGACCGTGAATGTAAACCGGGGTGATCATCTTTCCCAAAAGGTTACTGAGAAGGCATCTGGCGGTGCCGACCAAGGAATCCTTCAAAAAGTGACGCCTGACGGTGTAAATCTCGACGTTGAAAGCTGCAGTGGCGCTGTTGACGAACTCGGACGAAAGTCTAAAGAGGAACTTGTCGTTCCAAGTAGGGTTTTCATCTCCAAGACAGTCCATTCTTGTCCTCAATGTGTTAGACAAATCATCATCAACCTAGACCACAGCGTAGGTTTGAGTCTTGCTTTTGCTCTTGGAAGAAACCTTCAGACCTTGAGCAGACACTAAGTTTATTTCCAGAACTAGTTCACTGCTTCTCTTCTTCTGCTTCTCCTCCATCATCAGGGCTAGCTTTGCCATCAATTAAAACTAGCTGGATCCCCGAAATTAAGACGACGAAATCTCAGATTTTTCTTTTTTCTTTTTCTCCTTTTTTTGGGGTACGCTTTATGGGAAGAGCTACAGTGTATGTGCTTATTTATATGGTTGGAATCGCGTATAGTTTAGGCACCGACTAGGATAAAATAGGAAGTATTTTTTTTAGGCAATATACAAAAAAAATATATATATCCGTCAGTGTTACTACAAACATCAAATATTAACAAAATCTCTATTACCAAATAAAGTAAACTCAACCATGTGAAAAGGATAAAGCACAATTACTAATCCCAACTATTTTTCCAAGATGAACATGAAAGATGGAAGGTGAAGAATAAGACTATTTTTATTTTCTCAATAAACCATAGACAAAATTGTTGAGCCGAAAGTTGTGTTAATTCAAACAGTGACTAATGAGAACCTCAAGCCAGGGATATTCATAAGCTCTTGCTCCATCCACTCTGTCCTTCATCATCATGATGAAGCTGATACATTTCGCCAGTATCCTAGCTGAGATTCCAGGGAACATTCCTATACACGTATCCTAGTGCCTTCTTTGCACCTTCTTTGCTGAAAAAAAAGTACCCACAATTAATATTGTCATTTTTCACCACAAATTCCACTTGTTAAAATCTAAAAACAAGTATAAATCTAATCAAAGTTGCAATTTATTTAACTTCTTTATTATCATCAATTGATTTTTTTAAAGAACAAAAATATTGCATTTTCAACCACATATATAAGAAAAATCAACATCTAATTTTCAAATTTTGTTTTTTTTTTTCCCCTTGAAAACGTTCAAATTTTTGTTATTTACTCTAAATTATGATATAAAACTAGAAATGTGGTATGTTACTGCCCCATTCATGTATCTAAAAAGGAAATGTCATTTGTAGAATGGTTACTGCCTTTTTAAGAAATAAAGTTTCTTCAACTACAGAAACTTGAAATGCACCCAAAAAAAAAAAAATGCATGCAAAAAAAAAAAAAAAACCCTAAAGAACCTTGATGAATACACTTAAGTGAACGGATATAGTATGGAGAGCCAAGATGCACACCACGTAGGTTGAAGGTGGAATGAGTCAACTCAATTATAAGTACCAAATAGGAAGGAAAGTGATGAGTAGTTAGCGGTTGCTGCAAACTCATAATGTTATTTCGATCATTTGCCCAATATCCAGCTTTCCTGCTCTTCCATGTCTTTCACCTCTTCGTGAATGTTGGGGCTTTTGTATATACATTTAATAAGATCAAACTTAAGTGTTACTCCCTCTGTTCTAAAATAAACTAGTCCACATAATTTTGAGATTTGTACTATTTTCAGTACAAATATGATTACATGAAAATTGAATGTGGAGCACTTTCTCAAGTGCTTCCTAGACGCTTCAGAGACAGACCATTAGAAGGAACACATGGAAGTGGCACCCACCATTTTTCCTCGCGCTAAGGAGCTGGAAGAATCCTCCTAAATGACCCTGAACAAGTCGATTTTCTGTCCTATTTCCCTGTTCTTCATACCGAATCTGTCCAGTATATCCAACAGTAAAGCATCAAAGCCTTTTTAGTGCAGGAAAGTTGATACTAACGCCTCATCTTGGTTAGCTAGCTAGTAACACCTTAACTGCAGTTCCATCTTGCAGTTCATGTATTGTGGGTATCAAACACATATATATAAAAAGTAATTCATTTCTCAGGTGTGGTCCAAAAAATTGAACCATAGAGTTTTGCGATCAAATTCAATATGGCTACATCGGTACTTAACTTGGAAGAGCTGCAGAACTCAACTTTGATCTTCCCATCACCAATACGCCACTACAGCCTCTATAAAGCCTATGCCCCTAATAAACAATGCTAGTTGCACATTGCTCACGAGATGTGCATTATTGATATCATACATCCCAGTTTTCTTAATTTCTTAAGTTCTGAAACTATTTTTAGTGAGTCAATTACTGTAGGAAATGTATTATACGCATCGATTAACAAAAGAATGATGAATCATGCAATTGACAGAAAGAAACTAACAAAAGAATCATGAATCATGGCATGTCATTAATCAAAAAAATCATTATCCAATCCAACTATATACATAAATTTTAAGCAATATACATATAGAGTTTTGACAGAAACTGAACTACAGAGTTCAAAGTGCAAGCACATTAATTTTCACCAGCCTTAAAACATCATACTACACATGCCAATGTCTGATTGTTGTTTCATTCAAACTCGAAGTCAATGATTAAGTGCTGTTGGGCCAGGAAGCTGATGACCGTTTCGCACCGGGAACCGAACATTTGGTTGAAACTGAAGCGGCGGCTGGCGTCGAGCCTCCTCCTGGTGGTGGTGGAGGTGGTGGTGTACTAGTAGTTGCTGCTGCTGCTGTCCTTTGGAGAAAAGATGCTGCTTAGTAACCCAATCAAACCTCCCAAAAGGATTTTTCTGAGAATGATTTGTGTCCTCAATCTTGTTAAAATCAACACCATGAATTTGGGACATAATCTTCAAGTTGTTAACGATGAAAGGATGATTCAATAACTTCAAGGCAGACCATCTGTACTTTGGATCTCGATCAAAACATCTCATCAAGAAATCCACCCCATCCATATTGGAAAGTCTTCCTGGCACAAAAATACATTCATGTAATATCTGATGAACCAAATCGTCATTGTCCCTGTAATTATAGGCACGTTGTCCAGTGATCATCTCAATTACTATGCATCCAAAGGACCAGATGTCGGTGCCAGTCCCGTGCACTCCAGAGGACACGGATTCCGGCGATGCATAAGGCAGAGTAGTCTTGGTATAAGTCTTTGTTCCGCCGGAATCTGTCTCCATGAGTTGTTCCTCCTCTGATAACCTTCTCGCAGATCCAAAGTCGGCTAGTTTAAGCATGTTGATGTGTCTCCCGCCGCAAACCGCCGGAAAAATCAGAACGTTTCCCGGTTTTAGATCGCAGTGAACAATTCCTTTTGAGTGAATTCCGGCGAGGGCTTTTAACAACATACTTGAGTACAGAGCAACGACGGGTTCCGGCAAGGTTTTACCGCCGCAATAAATTGTAAATCAGGTCATGAAGACTCCCTCCCGGAGCATAATCGAGAAGGAGATTGTAGATCTTACGACCCTTTTCGATGCTGAGGTCTTCACCGTAGCATTGAACGACGTTAGGGGTTCCGATTAATTGACCTAAGATTCGAGCTTCTTCCCTCAATGAAGCAACGGCGAATTGAGCAGAGCAATCAACCGATTTCACGGCTATAAACCTCTTCGAAGAAGAAGAAGAAGACTTATTGGTGGCCAAGAAAACCAACCCGAAAGAACCTTGACCCAATTTCTCAATTTTCTCCCAACTCTCCATCGTGTCTTAGAATCAGATTGAAGATCACTCTCCAACGTTGTTGTATAAAGGAGACAGAGTATCTCTGTTTTAGTTTCACTCTCTCGATTTAAGGTTGTCGGTTTTCCAATTCCTACTCGGGTTAATTTGATTCTAATTCCAAGTGGACCGCGGCAAGTCGGCAACGAGTAGTAATTATATTTGGTCTATTTTGTTTTTTCTTTGTCACATTTTTTAAATTACTACCAAAACAGAAATTAAAACATGTATTGTCGCACAAGTATTTAGCATGCACGCCAAAAATCACATATTTAATCATAAATAAATTTGCGGATTGCATTTTAGCTTTTTTTTTTTTAATTTCTGTATTTGTTTTTATTATCATTGTATTTGTTTAAAAGTATTGCAGCAGAAGGCTTGAATCACTGACCTTTTTGATAATATTTTTTTTTATAAGAAAAGATAAGTGATTTTGTTGCGCGTATATTTGTTCTCTGGTTGATCTCCAAAAGTATTCAGGAGGATGACACAAAATAACCCTTTTTTATTTTTCTGGCTGAAAATATATGGGAGAAAATACATCAAACGGAAAAATATTCACATAATTAATGTTTGCTAAAACACAAGCAAACATTATACATACGCTTAAGATTTTTATTGCATTATCAACAATGCTGGCTTATCATAAACCAAGATCTCAAATCAGCTTGTGAAGACTTCTTTACTAGAACTCCTTTGCCGTGAGCGATTCGAAGCACAATAATAACTTTGATTCCAAAAAAGGCAATGGCGACATCATTTGCGAACTTCCAGCTTATAAGTGTGTGCAACTTCATAAATAAGGTCTTCACAAAATTGTTAACAGAAAGGCTCAAACCTTTACTTCCTGGACTAATTTTTGAAGAGCAATCAGCCTTTATTCAGGGACGAGACATTGTTGATAATGTGCTAATGACGCAAGACTCGCTCCAATTCTTGGATCATCCATCAAGAGGGGGTCATTTACTTATAAAAGTTGACATGATGAAGGCTTTTGATAGGGTTTCATAGAGCATTTTACAACGGCTTCTACGTAAGTTTGGTTTTCGTGATAAATTCATTGACCTAGTCATGTATAATCTTGAACGAAGCTGGTTTTCGATACTTCTGAATGGTAGTTCGAATGGTTTCTTCAAGGCCATACGAGGGATAAAGCAAGGACACCCTCTTTCACCTTACTTATTCATATTAGTGTCGGAGGTCTTATCCCGGAATTTGAAAGCCCTAACGGAAGCTGCAAAAATCTCACTTTATGGGGTTCTTGTAAGATCGATCATAGTCTCACATCTATGCTTCGTGGACGACCACATCATTTTTACCAAAGGTTTGAAGAATTCAATGAAAGGGCTAAATGATTTCTTTATGGATTATGAAGATGCGACTGGCCAGAAAATGAATAAGCAAAAAAACATGTTCATCGCATCGGGAAAGAGTAAGACAAGTGGCTACCATCTTGCAAACTCTTCAAATGCCGCAAGGATTATTACCTTTCAAATACCTAGGTTGCGTGCTCTTCAAGGACAGAAAGAAGGTGGAATATTTTCAGCACCTTTTGGAGGCTATGGATATAAAGCTACAGAATTGGAAAAATAAGTTGCTTTCAACTGGGGGGGAGATTGATCCTGATTAAGCATGTTTTAAGTGCTATACCGATTCATACTATCGCAGAATTAGTCCCTCCAAAATCAATAATTACAACCATTGAAAAGAGATATCAAGATTTCCTTTGGGGTGAAAATGAATATGGTCCTAGTCGGTATTTACGCGCTTGGAAGAAATTAGGGTTTTCGGTGGAAGAAAATGGACTTGGTTTTCAAGCTTTAGAAGACACCACCAACACCTTCTCCATGAACTTATGGTGGAAAATTCAAAATAAAAAGGGAGTGTGGGCTGCCTTTGTATCTTCATTGTCGGATTCTGCTGAAGAAAGAATAAGTCGGGGCCGAGTTACAACAATTGATCCGCTGGTTAGGTCGGAATGCAAATTCCTCTTAGAGGACGGCTCATCCTGTTTTTTGGTTTGATTCATGGCTGGATGCTAGCTCTCTAGGGAAGGATTCTACAACCTCGCCATTTCAAAACCTAAAATTGAAAGAGTTTTTTGCTTCAAAATCTATTATCTTGCAGGAATTCGGAAACGTTTTAAGCCAAGAAGTGAAGAATCAGCTCTCATCTATGATGTTTCAATTTACGGAGAATCAAGATCGCATAATCTGGATGCCTTGTGATTCAGGGAGTTTTTTTGTTTCCTCAGTATATTCTGAATTTTGAGAAAAAAACCAAAAAATCCAATGCTAGAGAAATTTTGGCATAAATGCTTGCCTTTAAAAATATCTTTTTTCATGTGGAAGCTTTTTAACAAAATGTTGCCTCTCCCTGAGATTTTGCCAAAAAAAAAAAAGGTCTAAATTTAAGACCATCGCGTTGTTCTTTTTGTATGAAAGAAGAGGAGGATATTGAACATATTTTCTTTCATTGTGTTAAGGTAAAACCTGTTTGGCATAATCTTTCAGCTAATTTAAGAATTAATTTTGATAATAATTCAAGTTGGAGGAACATCGTTCAAGCTTGGCAATCCATAGGATGCTTTTCCCCCACCAAAAAAAAAAACCCATAATTCTGGCCTTACCTGCTTTTATATTATGGGAAATTTGGAAATATAGTAATAAAATACCCTATGAAGGTATTGGTTTTTCTTTTGATTTTATTCTTAAAGGTATTCGGTCTCACATTTTCAACATGTTCAGTATACATAAGTTAAAGGCTCGAGACATGAAGGAGCAGCAAGAAATTGAGCAGGCATTTCATTTTAAAGTGGAGAAATTCAAGCAAAAAACAATGATAATACTAAGATGGAAGCCACTTGAACTGGGAGAAACAACACTTAATTCGGACGATTTGACGCTAGGCCAACCTGGAGCAGCGGGACGGGGATACGTTTTCAGGGGCAGTAAAGGTATATTCATTAGAGCGGAATGCAAATATATGGAAATGGAAACAAACTTTGCAGAAGAAATAGCAGCAATCTTCAATGGTCTTCAATATTGCATCGGAAAAGGAATAACTCGAGTGATCATTCGACCTGACAATCAGGCGATAGTCAATTTGCTTCATCAGAATAAGTGTTTCCCATGGAAGCACCACTATATTCTCAAGGAAATTCAATGCATGATTCGTCTCTCCAATTCCAAAATCATACATATCTTCAGAGAGGTTAACAACATGACAGATGAGCTTGCAAAAATGACATCAAACGGATCAACCATTCAGTATGATAGTCGAGAACAATTACCAACCTCTTTGACAGGCAAATGGTATCTTGATAAATGTTCCTTCCCTTATATCAGAGTTAGATAGGATTTTTCTTTTTTTTAAAAAAAAAAAAACTTCGTTAGATTAGATGGAAATGTCAGGGGATTTATGTGAGATCTTTGTAAGACATTCTCCTAGGAATCAGAACATAAACTATAGAGAATTATCGGGGATATTGCACTATCCATGTAAGACAATTCATAGTTGTAATTGCATAGGAACCATTAGGAGTTTTTAGAAAAATTTTTGTAAGATAGTGTCCTTTTCTTTTGGGTAAGTCTTAAGCACAGTCTTAAGTAATTTTTACCTTATATTAATAAAATTGGAATCCTCCCGCCAGGTACTGCCCTGGATTTCCCTAAAAAAAATAATAATAGTAAAAAAAAAAAACAAAACAAACTTGTATCTATAGAAGTAGATATGAAGCTGTATATGAGAACATCAATCGTCACTTTTCTATATGGGCCATTCAGTTAATCCTTTATATGGATTTTTTTTTTAATAGTTTTGATTATTAATGTTTGGTTTTAACGAATGGACTTAGTGGTCCAAGTTATTTCTGGGAAGTTTTTGAGTAATAAAATGAGGTGAGAAAAGTAAATAGTGTCAAGATCAAGAAGGGTATAAAGAATTTTAGTTGACACTTGAGCTGAAACTTCGAATATGTATGGTTTGGTATTACATTCTGTTTGTCATGAAAATTTAGGGTGAAAAGATATCTCTCAATCGAGCTGGAGTTTTGTTCTTCTTTTTTTTTTCTTTTTTCTTTTTTTTTTCTGGGGTTGCACTCATAAAAGATTCTGCGAGATGTAGAGAAATGCACTTGTTGTGGGAACGTAAGGCACTAAGGTAATCTCATGCAATTAGTTCTTAGATTGGGTTGATTCTCTTCATGGATCCAGACAAGGGCCAAATGAGAATGGAGGATGTGTCTATTTATCCCATCTGATAAAATATTCTATAGTATTTAGTCAATCTGGATGATTTCTAACATACATGAATGAAATTTTTTACCATAATCCCAACTGATAAATATTCTACTGGAAATAACACTTTTCCATGCGGATATGAATATCCTATTTGATTTTTCATTTCCATTACAAATTTTACTGAAAATGAAAATTTCAACTTGACAAAATTTATTTTGGAAGGGAGGATTAATTTAGTCTTTGTGCTCAATTTCAAATATGCTATCATGATCGATTCTAGACCACTATAACTCTCACTAAAATGTAGAGATCAAACATGAAAACCCTAGCTTATTATTAATTATTTCCTCTAGTTTTTATTATAAGATTTTTTTAAGAAGTCTTTTAGTCTACTTATGAGAGTTTTTGGGTTTCCAATTGTAATGCACTTTCAAGGTAAACTGACTAAATTTTAATTTGATTGGTAACCTATGTTTTTGTGTAGGAAATGTGAAAATCTTTGTTAATGGAGATAATATAAATAGTTTATTCACAAATAATTAACTTAACTAATTTCAATCATTTTGAAAAGATAATTATTTGTTTCTATTAAAAGAATGTAGAGAATATTTCAGATTCAGCCATTCAGGAGAAGAAGAAGGAGCTCCCTCAATTTCCACTAACTAGAAAAATAATTCCTTGGCGGCTGATATATTTTTTCCAATTGAAGACAACCAGTGAAAACCACTACCATAATAATCTTGATCAGTCAAACAATTTAAGTGAATCATACAAAAATTAATGACCAAT